CCCCCCCCGCCGCCCTCTCCTCCTGACACGCCCTTCTGCTCCCGAAACTCGCCTGCCCCGTCCGTGTCGCCTCCCCCGCCCTCCGCAGGTGCTCGGCGGACTGGCCTACCTCCACAGCCGGGGGAACATCCACCGCGATGTCAAGGCCGGCAACATCGTCATGACATCCGACGGTTACTGCAAGCTCGGTGCGCACTACCAGCGGGGCATGCCTCCGCCACCGCGCCGGCACACACCTAGCGCCCCATCCAATGCCTGCCACGCCCCGCCCGGCGCAACTGACACCCATGCCCTCGCAGTGGATTTCGGCGTGTCCGGCCAGCTGACCGCATCGACCATGCGGCGGCACACCCTCACCGGCACCCCGTGCTGGATCGCGCCCGAGGTGGTCACCGAGGACGGGGGCTACGACGTCCGGGCGGACATCTGGTCGCTCGGCATCACGGTCCTGGAGATGGCCGAGGGCCGGGCCCCGAACGCCGGGATCAACCCCATGCTGGTGCGTCGGGCTCCGGCACATCTCCCACACTGGCCTCGCTCTCCCTCTCGCCCCGAGGGGCTGACGCGTGTTTCCCCCCCCCCTCAACCCGGCACACGCACACGCGCACAACAGCACCCCTTCATCAAGAGCACCCCGGGCAACGGCCGCGCAGTGCTGGCCGAATTCGCCCTCCAGGTGATCGAGCTGAAGGACATGCAGAAGGCCGGCGGCAGCTCGCGGCGGACACCGCGCGCCGATGGCGGCGGCCGGCGTAGCGCGTCTTCCTCGTCGGCCGACTCGGGAACCATCATGTCCGGGCCCTCGCGCGGGGGGGAGGCCACGTCCTCGCCCTCGCCCTCGCCCTCGCCCAGCAGCAGCCGCAGCAACAGTCACGGCGGCGGCGGCGGCGGCGGCGGCGGCTGTGGCAGCGCGGCCAACAGCATTGACCCGTCGGACATTGCCAGCCTCCTGCGACAGGACGCCACTGGGCTGACCTCCCCCCGGCGGGGCCGCCGGTCCCTGGTGTCCAGCGGCATCTTCGACTCGGTCCCGACCATGGGCGGGACACCGGGGGGGTCGCCCGGGGGCGGGCCCGTCGGCAGCCCGGCCGGGCCGATGTCCGGGCGCGGCACCTCGGCACGGTCCATCGCCGCCGCCCTGCCATGGGTCGGGGAGGAGGCGGCGGCCCCTGCCGGCACCATCCGGCGCCCGGGCCCCGGCGGGGCCACCAGCCCCCTGGTGTCTTCCCCGGACCTGGGAGCCTCGTCGGACGCCGGCGAGGACAGCGACTCCCTGGATGACGGGCTAAGCGACGGCGATGAGCATGATGGCGAGGCCGGGGAGCATTCGCTCGGGACCATGCGCTTCAGTGACTCGACCTTCGTCTATCGCGGGAGCGACAGCAGCGGCAGCGGCAGCGGGTCCGACAGCGACGGCCCGGGCGGGCCTTTCGATGCATCCGGGACCGTGCGCTTCAGCGACTCGACCTTCGTCTACCGCGGCAGCGACAGCAGCGGCAGCGGCAGCGGGTCCGACAGCGACGGCCCGGGCGGGCCTTTCGATGCATCCGGCACCGTGCGCTTCAGCGACTCGACCTTCGTCTACCGCGGCAGTGACAGCGATGGCAGTGGCAGCGAGCACGACAGCGACGGCCCGGGCGGGCCTTTCGATGCATCCGGCACCGTGCGCTTCAGCGACTCGACCTTCGTCTACCGCGGCAGTGACAGCGATGGCAGTGGCAGCGAGCATGAGGGCGCCGGCCGGGCCGGCGCCGGGACCGTGTATGTCGGGTCACCGCGGGGCACCGGCGCCGGCGGCGCCGGGCTGGCGGGCCTGAGCCTTGGCCACTCCTGCTCGGAGGACTCGCTGTCGGACAGCAGCGACAGCGGCGAGTCCTCCGATGGCGACGGGGACTTCGGTGCATCCGGCACCGTGCGCTTCAGCGACTCGACCTTCGTCTACCGCGGCGGGGACAGCGATGCCTCGGATGACTCGCTTTCGGATGAGGATGGCAGTGATGATGACCATGGCGGGGCCGGCCATGGTGGCGGGTCTGCCACCATGCGCTTCAGCGACTCGACCTTTGTCTATCGCGGGAGCGACACCGACACGTCGGCCGATTCGCTTTCCGACGAGGACGCCGACGAGGCCCGCGGCCAGGCCCACCACGGGCTTGGCACCATGCGCTACAGCGACTCGACCTTTGTCATCCGGGGCAGCGACAGCGAGACCCCCAGCACGGAGGATGACGACGGGCCGGATGGCAGCCATGATGATCTGGCCCCCGGGTCGACGGATACCATGCGCATGTATGACAGGCCGTCGGGGCGGCCGGCCGGCCGGTTTGTCAGCGGGTCCGATGACGATGGCAGCAGCAGCAGCAGCAGCAGCAGCAGCAGCACCAGCAGCCCTGCTGCCGAGTCCGATGATGGGCATGGTGATGGGCACCAGGCGCGCGGCGGGGGCGCGGCCGCGGCCGCGGCCGGCACGGTGCGCATGATGGCCCGACCGGGCCCGGCGCTACATGTGAACACCGATGTCCTGTGCGTTGCGACGACGACGGCGGCGGCGGCCCGGCAGGCCGGGGCCTCGCGGTCGGCGCCACCCACTGCCATGGGCTTCCAGTCGACCGGGCAGGGGGCCCTGCTGTCGGCCGGTGGCGGTGGCGGTGGCGGTGTCGGGGCCACGGCCTCATCGGCTGGGGACCACCCGGCCGGCAGCATCGCCACCGAGCCGGTGAATTATGCCCAAACCCGGGCCATGTTCGACAATCTGGCCCGCAGCAGCAGCGGCGGCGACCCGGCCCTGTCATCGCCCCCCCCGCCGATGACGCCGCAAAGCCCGGGCTTCGGCGGGTTCCCCCGGCGGGCGCCCGGCGGCGAGTACCACCCGGCGGCCCTGGCGGCCAAGCCCCCGTCCATCACCAGCGCCCCGGTGTCGCCGGTCCCCCCGTCGGTCGGCGGCGGCGGCGGCGGCGGCGGCGGCGAGCACTGATGGGGGCGTCTGCGGGCCGGTGCCCGGGTCGGCGCCCGTGCTTGGGCGTACGTGTGTGTGTGCTCCTGCGCGCGAGTCCATCGCCTCGGGCGCCGTGTGCATGCCTCGGGAGAGGCTGTTCGCTTGCCTGCGTTTGCGTGCGGCCGGGATGTGAAGCCCGGCGGCGCGTTTTCCGACGTCCCCTCCCCCCCTCCTTCCTCCTCCTGTGTATTTTCCTTCCTCCTCTCCCGGGGGAGGTCGTGTCGTGCCCATGCTCGCGCGTTAGCTCCCCCTCCCCCCCCCCCCTGTCCTTGTTGTCCTGCTCCTCGCTCGGAGAAAATACCACCCCGGCACCTCGCGCCACGTTAGCCCGTTTGCCCGACAGAACGGGATCCCGCGGGGCGGCTGCCGCGCCAGAACACTCCATTCGGGTGCTGGAAGAGGGGGGCATGTTTCAGAACGCGGCCAGAACTCCATGCCTAATTTCTCTGGCGGATACCGAGGGAGCGCGAATAGTGCGGCGGGACCTCGGCACAGGGCGCGCTCCGCGGGCGTCCCTCTCCGGCGGGACCTAACCGGTGGCACGGCGTCGGGCGGCGCGATGGGGCAAACACGTGGGAAGTCAGCCGCCTTGGGAGATTGGCACCGCCGGCCACCTGGACGCGGCCGTTCGGCCAGGTGGCCGGATTCAAATGGGCGGCACGCTCAGGGGAAAGTGCCCGCCCAATGGGTGCGAAAAGGGAAAAAAAGAAAAGAAAAATAGGGGCCGCGCCGGCCGGGGGGATGATCCGGCTAGGGTGCGCCGGGGTGCGGGGGCCAGCCGCGGGGGGGGAGGGTACGGGGAGGGGTGTGTGCGGACGTGTGTGTGTGTGTGTGTGTGTGTATGTGCCCGTGTATATGCGGGTGTGGGTGTGGGTGTGGGCCCCGATGTGCGCCCTCGCCTGTGGCCCCCCGGCAAAGGCGCCCCGGGTGCGGGGCTGGATGCGGGGCTGGGCACGGAGGGGGGGGGGGGGGGGATCGCGCAGCCCCCCAATTCTGCCTCCCATTCTTTGCGGTCGCCGCCCCCCCCCCCCAGCGCCGGCCGGCCTGTGCATCTGCGGCTTGCATCCTCGCGCTCTGGTTTTGGGAGTGCGTGCGGGCGCGGGGGACAAGTAGCCGGGCCGATGGGCCTGATGAGACCCGGGCCTGCACACCAGCCCTCGCCGATGGTCCGGCTGCTTCGCCGGCCGGCAGGCCCTGTTCGCTGTCGAGTCCGGCCTTCGGGGGTGGGGGGCGGGGGGCAGGCCTGCTCGGGGACATCCCCCCGGGGATCGGCGGCCACCTCGCATGGAGCCGATCCCAGGGCATGTTTCCGGGGGCACACGCGCGCGCGTGTGTGTGTGTGTGCGTGTGTGTGCGTGCACCCGCGCACACATCTGCCGATACAGGGCGCCGACCCCCCCCCTGCGGCCAAGACACCAACTCGCCGGGCCCGTTCCGGTCGGACCAGCCATTTGGCCCATGGCCGGTGGGGGGGCGTTTGCCTGACAACCGCGCCGCCGCCCTCGCTGGACTCCTCTGCCGGCGGAGGGGGAGGGCAGCGGCTTCGGTCGATTGGCCTGCCCTGCCTTGCCGGGCGAGGCCCCGGCCCGAGGTGAAACCGGCGCCCTCCTTCCCATGGTGCCTGGTGACGGGCTCGCGTGCCCTGGCATGCTGGGTTTCCCGCGCACCTGAGGCCCGGCGCCCGGCCGCACCCCGGGCCCGGCGCCTCGAGCGAGGGTATGGGCTCGGGTCGGTGCCGGCACTCCGCCGAGCGAACTTGCCAGTGCACCCGGGCACGGCACCGGGTGCGCTGGCCCGACACGGCCGTGCCCCTCAGCTGGCGAGGGCGCCCGCACAGGCACGCAGGCTGGTCGTCTTTCGGCGCGGCGCGGCCGCCGGATGCGGCCCGGCGATCCGAGTGGCTGCGC